GCGCCCAATATCTCGACAGCCAAAATGCTCTAGAAAGCTTGTAAACTACCCAATCAAAGCAGAGATCTTGCGCTTTTTGATGCACCAATCGCATCGCAAAACGGGTGATATTTAGAAAAATTCCGCCAATAGAAAAAACTACCTAACAACTATTTTGGACCAGAGTAGTATATATTAGCTGCACTTCTAAATTAAATTACTCGAACACTTTATACATATTATTAAGAGGTTCTTTCTATATTGTCACCCAAATCAGGCATACATTATTCAAGTGACTTACTGCCGGGAATTTAATTGACACAGGGAAATTTCAATTTTAGAAATTCGACGAGAAAATTGACCATACGATACAAATGATGGGACCTGCATAAAGTTATAAAGCTCGTGCATCAAAATGCATGTTTTTGCAGCCTCATCGGATTAATGGGTGACGAATTATGGCACACAGAAAGTAGGCCAAGCTGGCCGGGAATTGCATGAATTACCTTACACATTTGGTTTGTTTCGAGTTACTACCAGGTGGTCGATGGCACCGAGAGGACCAGTGGTTAGGTTAACAGGCAAATATAGGTTTTGAGAGGATGTGTCTGACGAGGATTAGCAACAATTAATTAAGCTTGACCGAAACATATGTTATACGTTTTGATTAGGTATCAATTTCTATAGTACATTTGTAGTTTTGGTATAGTTTTCAATTGTATCTCACAAGATATTAAGTTTTGGACATGATATGCAATGAAGGTTATTCTAATTGAGCTGAGTTCTATATACATACAAATTTTCAGAAAAAATTCAATTTGCAGCTTACAAAACACATATTTGTCCCCTCGGTGCCGTCACCCACTCACTGTAAAGCGAAGCGCCATTTCTAAATTCCTGCCAGGACACTAGCGCAGCGGCGTGTTATTACTAACTGTAAATAGTACTAGTACTACGTATCGCATGGTCAATTTGCTCGTTGAACTCCTCAGAACTTCTTAATAATAATATTTATAAAGTGTTGAAGCAATCACATTTAGCACATTTAGAAGTGCAACTAATATAGAAACTGTATTACATGTCCGACAAGCTCAATATTAATCTTACAAATATTTGATACAAGAGTACAGTACGTAATTTTGTCCGTTCATAGTCCATGGATGATTGTGATTGGCCACTTGCCGGCCGGGAATTACATGAATCACCTTATTAGCTTTCCGTCAACTACATGATACCGATGATTGGACAAAATTATCCCTTGATTGCATGTTATTGGCTAATTCGTCAAAACTGTATTTTACAGTCGAAACTGTAAATCTGGCCGATTTGCAAGTCTCGCAGTAAAATTATACAGTTTCCTGTCTTTTAGAGTCGCCCGGTGAGGTTGTCAAAACTGTAAATAATCCGGATTGAACTGTAAAATTCCTCTTACAGTCGCACCAGTGGGGATGCTCTAAGGGCATCCCCAATGGTGCTAGGTAAAGTTATCAGAAAAATAGTCTCATAATCGATACGTATTATCAGAAGCCCCCTCGAAGCTGTTGACTACACTGTGAATGGATTTTTCAATGCAACAGCATACGACATGGTCAATAATTTACCCTTTTTATTGGTCACCCCCGCCCCAATCTGGACTAGTCGAAACACGAATCGGGGGTTAATATATTAACGTAATCTATGGTTTGTGGCTACTACTTGTACTGCCCGTGGTCAGGGGTGTTTAGCGGCTTCGTAATCTACGCCCGTGAACGAATTGTCATCCGTGTCCTTGTGGGGACTGGCTACAACGACCACGACCACGGCGCCATCTTGGGATGCGGACGACGGCAACAGCGACTTTTTGTAGTCGCGGAAGCTGTCGACTGCAAACACGCCCATGGACAGCCAGAGAAAGCAAAACCCAACGAGGGTCGTGGTCGTGAACGGTTCGTTGTACACGAACACGCCAAAGAAGAACTGGATCGTGGGGGCGAGGTTCGCGATGAGCCCTATCACGTACAACGGCGCCAGCTGCGTCGCCGCAACCAAGAACACAAGCGGCAGGTTTGCAAAGATGCCCGTGCCGATTAAGAGGACGTCCGTTTGTGTCGACACATGACCGAGCACACTCGCGCCTTGAGCCTCCAACACCACGACCCCCACAACCCCCACAGGAAACATAAGCAACGACTCCAGCACCATCCCATGCAAGGGCGTGAGCGGGGCCTTCTTCTTAACGTACGAGTACGATCCGTCAATCGTCGTGAGAAGCATGGCCACCCATGGAAACTTGCCGTACGCAATCGCGAAGATACCGACCCCGATCGCGGCACACGCCACCGCCACCACTTGCCACAGGCGCAGCTTTTCCTTGAGAACCACCACGCCAAAGGTCACGATCGTGATGGGGTTGAGAAACGCGCCGAGGCTGACTTCGAGAAGGTACCCCGAGTTGACAGCCCAGATCACGAGGAGGGTGCTGGCGGCTACGAGCCCCGCGGTGATGCTATAGAGGGCGAGATTGGCTTTGGTGAAGGCTTCGCGGGCAAATATTTTGTGCTGTCGAAGCGCCAGCAGCAACATGAACGTCCACGGAAGTGTCCATGTGAATCGCTGCAGGGCAATCTGGAACGCTGGCACGGTGGATAGAAACTTGTAATAGACGGGCATGACACCAAACAACGTGAACGAGGTGACCCCGTACAAAATTCCGATGCCTGTCATATGTGTCGAAGGGTGGGGAAAAAGCAAAGTGAACGATCATGGATGTGCAATCTCGACTGCTGCAAATGGTGCACCCAACAATACATGTGTGATTGGGCTGTTGAAGCCCCAGCCAGTAGTATACTAGTACACCATTATTATCGGATGGCACATAGAATAGAAGTAATATTTAATGCCACGGCGATTAGATTTCGAAATCAGGGGGT